ATGCTTGAAACAGAAATACATCAGTTTGATCCTGGGACACCTCTTCAACTCCAATACTGTAATATAATATATGGTAGGTGCCGAATAACTTTACTTCACTTCCTTCTTTTTTGAGTATTTAATCCTACTAGTTTCGTGTTGGGCACATAGATTGTTATTCGATAGCCTACTATGCCTTTCAATACTTTTTTCTGATGACCCACCTTTCGCTCAACAGTTCCTTCCACTATTGGTGCGATTGTGCGAAGCTCGGTATCTTTTCTCGTTGCCTGCAATTGGCTGGTAACAGCCGAGGTCAAGCGAGATAATAAGTAGCTGGAATAGGGTCGAATAAGACGTCATGTAATACTAACCTCTCCGTCGACTTCTGGCGGGACTGTAGTTGTGGTGAGTCCGAAATATGGTGTCGTACAGCATGCTCTCTTGATACAGCTACCACCGAGGGCCATACAAATGGCGTCATCATCGATACGACACTGCCCAATATGAGCACCACCATTCAGACATCGAATGGTACTCGCTAACGCATTGGCCTAAAAAGGAAAATGTTGTGGGCAGGGTCATGAAGATGTGGGAAGTGGCGATCAATTTGTGTGATACTCCATCCACCAGATGGATCGTCCAAATTTACTCCATGTTAACCTTAGCATCAAAGGCACACCTCAGAAAAGCTGGTATAACCTCAAGCGTGAAAGTGAAAGTAGGTTTGCAAACGGAAAGGGGATGAGGAAAAGAGGAGGAACTCCAAAAAAAGTTCCGAAACTAGAGGCATTGTTTTTGGCTTTGAAGTGTTCTGAAGACACAACTGGACAGACAGAGCGGTAAGCAATACTGAGCGCTGAGGAGGGAAAAGAATCGGAGGCGAGGGAGCGTGATTACGAGCGAGGGTGATAGTACCTGCTGATTTGATTGCATTTCGCTATGCGAAGTATATCACACGAATTCTGGGTTATGGGCAAAATGCGACTCCTCTGCTAAAGCTTTCAATCACTGGCAGCATGATGAGCCGCACAACGCGATGAGGCGGTCAGCCGTGGTCAACTCAACGACTCATCGCGTTGCGCTTGTGAGTTTTGAGCAGCTGTGGTAAGTATACCAGTAAAATGTGGACCTATGGTAAAGTAAGAGGGGTTCGATTCCCACCTGTTGCGTTGGGTTTTGAACTTACCCATCATTGTTGCTATGAGTAAAATTGATATTTATCGGTATTCTATTTGTCTTAAATTTGCTTCTAATTTGAAAGATGAAAACTTGCCCAATTTCCACGTCCAAGCCACAAACCGTATGCTGTTGGATAACCAACTCCAATATTACCGCTAGGCGGATATGGTGGCACTGCAACAAAGAAATAAGTGGGCGAAACCCTTCCAACGAAATGATTATCACTACAAACTGTACTCGGCAAACTTATTTCACCTATTTCTACAGTCCACTACATTACCCATATCACTAGGACGGTAGAGGTAGGATGGTAAACATGTAAACTGGGTGAACTCTATGGATGTGGATTTTTTTCCTTAACCGTCTCGCAGAAGCACGCACGCTTCGCGAAAAAATGTTGACGACTGTGTGTTTGTCTCTGCCCTGCAGTGCGCAATGTCACATTTTTGTGAGCGGGAACTTGCAAGAGGAAGAAACACCTCACATCCGAAGAGAAAAAATGATGAAGGCGGACCGGCAAATCCAAGAAATGTGATCCGCTTCGTTCTTGTTGATAAGCCATGACGAATTTACGCTGAGGTAGATCGGATCGCATAGAGGATGCGATGTTGTACGATAAGGAGGTGCTGTTGGTTGAAATGAAATGCGCTAAGCTACCATCAAGAAACGAGACCAATCTACGATCAGCAAACGTAATAAATCAAAGACATTATGCTAGACGTACTCGGAGTTTAGGTCCTCTCTCACGGCTCCCCGCAAAGGACGGAAATATAGTTGTCGAATAATGCTGCGCACTTAGTTCCCCTTGGCAAACTTTTGGATGTTTTGAAACACTCCACTGTTGAACGCATGTGAACTATGCTTGATGCTCTCTCCGAAGCATTTCTGTCGTAGCATTTCGCAGCGCTTGATGCTCGAAAAAGCGCCTTTCAACTGAAGGTATCTGACTGCTCCTGCCTTTATAAGCCCACAAAATGCGTCGATTGAAGCGAAGCAGTAGGAGTTCTACGTGTTGTGATGGACCTCCAGACTATCTTTCACAATATGCCAATTATTTGGTTGCCGAGTTCCAGATACTTGAGAAAAAACCACAAATCTGGTCGGCCTGCCACCCTCATTGACGAGTGTATTCTGAATTCGATTGGAGAGAGTGCTTAGTGCAATGCACGGTAATTGGCGGAGCTCTTTCAGTGCTACCAGACCACAATGGCCGTTCCTCAATATCGCCTCTAAAAGAAGTGAAATTATGGCGAAAGGATATTTTGTGATCTGACTGACCACAGGCTATTGAGACCATAAAATTTTGCAAGGACATTTTGATTTGCCGCCCGTCTATCGCTTGATCCGCCAACTTTGTTGGTGGTGTCAAGAAGTGGGATCCTCAGATAAACCGCACGCGAAAGCACGACTGGCTCGGATGCGTAGAACAAAGGATTGCTACGCCGATTAGAGAACAGTAACCTGGGAGGCAACATTGAAAGCTCATGAGGCTGCAAATGTTTCGCTCACGGAGAGCTGCTGCCAACGAAGTCCACTGCTATTGGTGAACAATAATGTTAGCAAGTGGATTGGTTTCCCGGCATGGTGCCCGGAAAATCTGAGAAACTTTACTTTATGTCGGCAACGCTCGCCCACGAATTACGAAGAAGGTTCAGGAAAGTCTCCAAGCTCGTTATGGAATGATCTGACCCACTTAGTGTGTACAGCAAACCTGGTAGAGACAGGCTACCATACGCTTCTGTTGCCGTCGAAGGTACTGAAATAGGGGCAGTTCGATGATCCGGACCTACTCGGAGTCAACCTCTTTGAGCTTTTCGCCCCAAAGACTCGGGATTTCTGAACGGCCGGCAACCTGAAGTTGCCTGCTGAAGAGCAATTTCGACGATTATGGTGGTGTATGTATTCAACAATTGTTGGCTGCACTAAAGAAGAAAAACAATTTGAAAAAGTTGCCAAATGCGCAAAGACTTTTCCGACAACCTAATACATAGATAGAAGTTCAGGAAGTTATCATGCAGCATAACGCGCCTTATCCCACGATAGCGCATGTTGTCATGCTCTTGGCCGAGCACCACTGGGAACCCTGCAATAAATGAACATCCATTTTATCTCGACTTGTTTTTAATTTCTTTAATGATGTTCCCGTTTG